TCCATTACTTTGTATATCTCTTTTTCAAAGGTTTCTCTCTCTCTTGACCTCTCTCCCTTTTCTTTTATTCTTCCCTTTCCTTCTTGTCTTCTACCATCTGTTTATTTTTCATAATTAGACATATTAGAAAATGAAAGTTTTCATTGGTTATGTTTATAAAATACAGCTCTATGAGTACTAATCTTCAACTAAAAGTTAAATATTTGATTAGTTTGTATTTTATTAATTTTTTCTTTATTTTTTATATAGGTTAAAAAAACACATAAACTTTATTTTTTAAGCACCTGCAATCTGGCTTCTGCTCCCACTTTTGTGGAGCTACCAATCCAGTGGCCTTTTCTTCCTCCTCTTTTCCCACAATCTCTCTTCTGTTTTTAAAATCCTAATTAACTAGAATCAGTTTGACCAATATGTGCAGCAGTGCTCACCACATTTTAATAAAATAGTCTGTTTAGTGTTTGTTTTCTTTAGTCTGTAAACTCTTCAAAGGCAGGACTTACATCCTTGGTATCTTCTTTGTACCATTGGCACCTCTCTCAGTATCTGGTTTAACAAATGTTTATTGAGCTTAACTGAAGAGAGCTGACACAGAGCCCATAAGGAGCATAAAGTTATAGCAGAGGAGGGAGGGAGGTAGATGGGGCAGGAGCAAAGAGAGAGAGTTGGAAAACAGAGACATATTCAACTACAGTATAGTCTGGCAGGTGATTGGTCCCATAGGTGTAAATAATGTGTTGGGTGGGCAAAAAGGAGAAAAACTGACTTGGACTAGGGAACCAGGGAAAGCTTAATTTAAAAATGGATTTAAATTGTACCTCAGAGGATATTTCTAAAGTTATTTTGTAGTGAAGGAGAAAAGTGCTCAAGGAAAAGGGGGTACTGACCAAATGTAAGGAAGCACGAGAGAGACTACAAGCTTTCCAGTGCTGTTGGAACAGAGTTTGAGAGAGAGAAATAGAGAGAGCAACAGTGAGGAGGGATAGAGGAGGAAGGGAGGGAAGAATGAATGATGCAAGGGTTCCACAGATAGTGAAAGAGAAGGTTAGATGGTACCATGCCATACAAATTTTCCTAAAACTTGGGTGACCATGTCATTTATTGCCCACATGAGTCTCTTTTGAGAGTGTAGGAGGCACTATTAATAATTATGTTGGGACAAAATGTTAAGCAGGGACTAGCTCAGGCAAACTGGGATGGAAGGTAACCCTGTATAATACTGCTCCTCTGTTGTTTGCCTTCTCAGCTCAGAAATCTGTAGTATATATTAACTTTTCCTTCTCTGGTCTCCATTGTGTTCTAGATCATGTAATTTAACCCCTTAATAGTTTCCTAATCATCTTAACAAAGCTATATTTTGTTCTCCCAACTTGATAATTACCTTTTTGAGGGCAGTGGGTTTCATGTTTTGCATCCCCTGTGGTATCTCCCAAGGAGCCCTGGTGGCACAGTAGTTAAAGTGCTTGCCTGCTAACCAAAAAAAGAAGGTCGGCAGTTAGAACCCACCAGCCACTCCATGGGAGAAAGACATGGCAGTTTGCTTCTGTAAAGATTTACAGCCTTGGAAACCCTGCGGGTGCAGTTCTACTCTGTCCTAAAGGGTCGCTATGAGTCAGAATTGACTTGACGGCAGTGGGTTTGGTTTTTTTGGTGGTATCTCCTAGTAGGGAGTTTTATTTGGCATTTAGTTGCTGTTAATAAATCAATAAGACTAAGGACAACACAAACCTAAGAAAAAACAAGCACCAGTGAGGAAATCAGTGGTATGTAGGTGCTATTACTTAAGCTGCTCCCTTATAGCCTCAGTCCAGGCCTGACGGTGGCATAGCTGGAATCAACACTATATAGCTGAAAACTTGACCTCTCTGTGCATGGGGTGGGGGTGGGGGTGTCACAGCTCCAGCATTCTTCTCCCAGAGCCAGCAGAAATTACAGTGTTTAGTGAACTTATGTCATCCCAACCCATATATCTCTATCTGGAGTTTTCAGAGAGCAGTCGTCGGGAGTCAAGTTTTTTGTTTCCCAAACACTGCTTTGGATTTTTACTGACATTGGATAGTGGAAAAGCATGGCTTACCTTAGCCTTAAGGCTGCTGAGCATGCATTCCACTAAGTTTTTGCAAGTTTACCAGTAAAGTTTCTAACTAGTTCATTTTAAATAATGATAGTTAAGTTCTTCTTGGTGTCCTGAAAGAATTAACATTTTAAAATATTATGTGAATAAAAAAAAAAAAAGTACATTGTTTTTCATGTTTCTTGTAGTTTATCCTGAGTGTCAGGTTAGATTATCGGATCTCATATATGCTGTCAATATATAAGAAGGAGTTCGGAGAGAACAATGAAAATGCTGAAATGTCTGCCAGTGGCTCCCCGGATACATTACTGCCATCAGGTATCGCCTTTATTATTGTGACAACATTTACTCTTTGTATCTTGTTTTTCTGAGAACTTGAAAGTACCTTTCCTTTCTTAATTTAAAACACAGCAGTACAGGCAGTCCCCAGGTTATGAACATCTGACTTATGGACAGCTCGTACTTGCCCTTTAATGTTATGTAAATTTGCCCTCACTTTGAAACGATTGTAACAAATTCATCTTGTAAAAATTCATCACAATCACCTTCACTTGCTTCGCGTGCAGCTTTTAAATCATTGAAAAGGCTTCGAGACTTTTCTTGCACTAAAGTAAGGCTAAATAAGGATGTTATGCACCTACTCTGACTCACCGATAAATTCAACTTAAAAGACTTAAAGATACGGTTAGGAACGGATCTTGTTCGGAACCCAGGGACTGCTTGTACTTCAATGACAGAAAAATGTAAAAATAATCTCCACCCGTGACGTGAAAGAACACACAGACCATTAAATAACTTTCCTAGAATGACAGAGAAGTTATTGGTTGTTATTTAGTGCCAAAACCTTTGAATGCATTTTCTTTTATAATATTCACAACTCTCTGAGGTAGAGATACTTTCTATTGTGCCATTTTACAGATGAGAAAACCAAGGTCAGAGGGGTTAAGCTACTTGCTGAAGGTCATGAAAATAGTGTAGCAGGGATTCTCACTGAAGTATCTCTAACTTCAGAGTCTGAATCTTTTAATCAGACTGCGATTTTGGTGAAAATTCAAGGGGAATTTCTCTGCCTGGATCAAAGAGCAGTGTGAAATGCAGCTGTCAGAAGGAAAGGTGTTTTGTAGGAATCCATCACCCAACTCGAGAGAGAATAAAGACATGGCATTCCCCACAGGCCTGGAGGTGGATGTTGGTTTCAATATATTTTTTTTTTAATCTTTTTTACTTTGTATGATTGTAAACTGGAACTGTTTCAATTTTCACATTTAAAAACTGTCAGAATGAACTCATTCTATCTCTGGGTGTTGAAGTGTAACGAGAGAGTATAAAAATGTTTGTAAAAATTTTTTGACTATAGAAAGAACATCATGAAAACTAACAAATATTAAAAGACCATTTTCGGGATAGATTGGACCAGTCATGGCAGGCCGGAAGCTATGTCTTATTAAAAACTTAGCCAGTTAACAGAGTTTTCTTTTTTTTCCCCTGGAGGATAGGTTTGTATACAGATATGAACCCATCTCTGAACATCATGTCAGTGTCGTGAATCCTCCTCTTCTTTTTTCCTTAATCAGTTTGACAGGAAATGATTCAGTAATTGTAAATGTGTAGCTAATATGGATGCCTCATATCCATTGACCTCATCGCCCACTGTCCGAATCATTAGAACCTTCTCTAAGGCTGCATGCCTCCAGAGACAGAGTTAAGCTTGTCTGAGCGAGAAGTCACTTTTGGCACATTTGTGACAGTGTTGTTTTTATGCTTCCCAGAAGTGTAGAACCCCAAAGTGCTGTTTCCAGGAATGATATGGCAGACCCAGAAAATCTTGCTGGCAGTTGCATTGACAGTAGCATAAAAATTATTGGCTCCCAGAAGCCTGACTTCTGGAAACACGAGCTCTGAGTGTCAGTAAAGTACGAGAGAAAACGTCTAGGTACACCCCAGAAACCAGTCCGCTCTGATTTACCTGATGTTTGTACTGCTTGTTACTAGAAGACAGACACCTTTTTGGGAAGAGTTGTTTTTCTCTTCCT